AATTCACAAAAACACAGCATGGACGTAGCATAGTAGGCTAATAAAGGAGACATTTTATAGTGGACTATTTATGCATATTATTCATCGGAGTTGGCATTAAATGTTGACCTCAGTGCATAATACTGTATATAGTACTAGAAAGGAATGCAGTAGAAAGCAGAAGGAAGTAATTTTACTAAAGCTTGTAAAAAAGATGGTGAGACTTCCCATTGTATTCTCAAGGGCTGTTACTAATATCTGTTAAATAAGGTTCATACTTTATGCAAAGTCACATTGAACTTTAAAGCATATTTCATATCTTGGCATCTTCTTTCCAGATATGCAAGAGCCAGTGTATGAATATGATTTTCCAGAGCCATATCGTCCACCTCAGAAGTGGTTCCCACTGAAGCAGCCATTTAACCTGTAAGAAGGATGTTATTTTGTTGTTGAAAAATTAAATAATTTCACATATATGATTGAGATTCTTTGGAAAGTACTCGTCGTATTTTCAGCTAAAGAAATGACAACCCCTTTAAAGCCCTGTATATATGTATTTTAACATTCTTGGTGTGGTTGTGATGACTGAATTATAGTCTCATTCTTCTTCAGTGTCAGGTTATTAGATGTGGCCTTGAAATAATTTTAAAAAGTTGTCTTTCTCGTGAGCTTTTTCCTATTTGTTGATCTTTGAAGAATGTTCTGCTAACATTTCACCATATAAGATGAACAGATTAATGGCAGAGATAAACGGGTATATCCCTGCATTCTGAATTCTGAGCTTCCAGATTGTGCAATTATATAGTCTGGTAGAAGGTTACCAGTGTTTCAGAGGGATCCGCTGCCTTCAGAGAGTCAGAGTTACATTTCAACTGACGGTCAGTCAGTCAGTCAGTAAGTCTTGGTGTCGAGCCCCATTTGGGGCTCATGACCAGATATTAATTATTATCGTTTGACAGTTACGGTCTTGTTTCTGTGGGGCGCCAACAATCCCTTTCATTGTTGCACGTATATCCATTGCCATGGATACATGTTTATTGAGCTGTTACCAACAATGACTGTCTTTTTCAGTTATAATGTAACAATATGAACTTTCTTAGCAGTATACTCTGTACAGTCTGTCTCTGATATCTGATGTCTTGTTGTCTGTGGTACTGTTTCATTGGAATTCTAGAATTTTAGAAGGTGGTATTATTCCAGATGTTTGGCTAGTATGTTATTTTGAATGTTTGAATGTTACAGTTACATGGATAGATACCGGGATCCCAAGCAAGTGACTAAGGAATATCTGATGAGGAAGCTGAAGGAAGTTCATCCTTTCAAAAAGCCAGAACCCCGCCCCATGTTCCCCAATGCATTTCCCATTGACAACAAACGCATACCATCATGGCTTAGAGTAGAAATAAAGAAAAATAGACTGGGCTGGGGCAGAATTAATGATGTTTGAAGTGATGCTGTTTCCTACTGTGGTACACATGTCTTGGAATAAAATATAAATATTTGATACACAGTTGTGTTTCCTTGTTTATGTTCCTAATGCTGGGAATTTTCAATCAGAGACTCCAGTTTCCTAAGAACCAGTTATGAATGCAAGTTGCTTGGTCTGTTATAGAGGTGGGCAAGATATAGTATATGAAATAACGCAGCCCAACGCACATTGTATTCTGATACTGATAATACTGAAGAATGAAGAACAAGATCTGCGTGGAAATGCAAGTTTTGGAAACATTAGCACATATGTGTACTATTTTCATTCTCTGTATCTCCAACTGGGAATGAGAAAGTTGAAGTGGGGCTGACTCCATGTTCTGTTTAACCTTTAGCGACAATAAGTTACACTATTATAAAGGTACATATGTGAGGTCCAGCTGGCTGAGCATCACTTTCTACCCTTTTTACCCCTGGCCAAAAGCCCCGTAATACAAAGGGATATGTGGTTGATAAAGATTAAAGTAAGAGTATGCCTTGACATCTTAGTATCTTCAAAGTTTGGGATAATAATATTCCAAACAAGTTCAACTTGTTATTAACTACATTATTGTTTAGTATTTTGTTATATTTACAAAACATATTCAGTCAGTACATATGACTTATGACTTTGTGGCAGTTTTTGTGATAGAAGTTTTCTTGCTTTGAGATTTTTATAGCTGTGATTTTTTGTATAATGGTCTTCTGGATTGGGACATCATGCAGTCTTGGTACATAAATTTTTAAGGGATATGCTGCCTCCCTGAAGATAAAAGAAGCACGTTCTCTGGAATGCAGAATTCTCCCTACAAGGCTACGTGGAATTGTAACATAGAAGACCACAATATGAAAAATCTGTCCTGTGGTCACTTGAAAATAGCCCTGTCCAGCCCACAAGCAAAAAAATTACCCACTCCCAGTCCGTTATGTGCGTATGTCCCAGTATTATATTCACAATCATATTCCTGTGTAGGGTAATAGAAACAAAACTTGTTAGACACTGGACCTATATACAGTTATTTGTGAACCACACCAAAAGATTTATGGCTCGTCATGGTAGCCAAGCAGTCTAAGTCATGCACTGTCTTCGCTCGCTCGGAAGCCGGGATCATGGGTTTGATTCCGACTCAGGGCATGGATGTTTGTGTGCGTATTTCTGTGTTTGTCAACAGGTAGAGGCCTTGTGACGAGCTGATCACTCGCCCAAGGAGTCCTACCGTATGTGTAAGATCTAGAAAAACCGAAGTGAACGGAGAAGTTCACGGAGGTAGGCCTAGGCCCACAGGGGCTGTAATGCCAAGGAAAAAAAAAAGATTTATAACTGCAGGATAGACCTACTGAGGTGTGGTAACAGTTCTTGAAACTGAGACCTTCTTTCATGGTAGAACACAACATTTAATGTGACATCCAGAAAATGACCAGGTTTCCTTGCATTCCCATGATCTATTTTTGGGATCCAATTTCTGCTTCTAAGATTGACTTTATAACTGCTTAGCAAACAGCACATGCCAATAAAGAATTCAGGGTCTACAGTTTTTACTTATTTGTGTTTTAACATAACATATTTCTTGTTCTGAATCAGAAAGTACAAGAATGTTTTCCTGTGTTTCATTTACTCCTGTTGCAAGCAGATATTCTGTATGATGCCCTAAAGTCAACCATGACTTTCACAGACAGCTATGTGCTGGGACAGCTGAAGCAGTAAAGTGACTTACTGCAGGCTCCACAACCAGGATACAGTGACTACGAGCTGAACATTTAGGATATAGTTTCCGGAATTGATTGGATTTTTTATTTTACTATAATGTCCAGACCTGCTCTGCAGCTCATCCAGGTTCAGTTCCAGTGGGCTCCTGATTCTCTCCCCTGGTAGTAAAACAATCTAAGCACGAATGTGACCACTTACTTTCGTTTAGTGCTGAGGTTAAGAATGCATTAAGTTTTATCCCCACTCTCCATTTATGTCATTAGCGTACTCAAGCAGAGAGTTTACTTTATCTTCATTTTTCCAATATACAAAAAAAAGTAATAATACTTAACATGGTACCTTTACATTGCTCCCCTCAAACAGTTTTGCAAGCGGACACTGCTGGAAGATGCACTGCTGCATTTCTTAAGATATCTTACAGAAGTTAATAGTGCAACATTTCCTGGAAGATGGATTATTAGGGGTGGTTCATTTCTGTGGTCACTTAGGAACCCTGATTTGACACCACCTGATATTTTCTTTTGGGGCTATGTAAGTAATTACATTTGTATGAACAAAATTTGAGACCCGAATTATTTGAAAGAAAGAATAAGAGAGGCCGCTGGGTAAGTTAACAAGAAATATGCTACAACATGTATGGCAAGAAATGGAATGTAAATTGAACATATGCAGGGTCACAAAAGGTGCACATGTGGAAAGTTTCAAAATTATTGGAGATGCACTTTAAAATAAGACAACAGTTTCTTGAATATGTTTCTTATTTACTTAAACATTGGTTCTTCAAACCACACGCTCATTTTTCAGACATGCTGTATATCTAGTTCATTTTCCTTATGTTTATTGCATGTTGTTAGAACTGTGACATGTTTTTGCCATATAAAACCATCCTCAGGGTGTGTATCAAGAACCACAATGAAATCACAGAGTACCAACTTACCAGTATCTGTGTATGTATGTACTACATGGCATGACAGACCATAGTGAATGAAATTGTGCTAAGTACAACCTACATCAATGATTACAATGTTAGTTTGTAATCTCTTTAAGAAATTAATGAGAAACATGTAATACATTCTTTATTTTACATATGCAAATTGTAATGTTTCCTTAATATGTACATCACCTGAAAATGGTCTTATATGACTTGAACATGTTGGGTTTTTAACAACATGCAGTCAACATAAGGAAAGGAATTAAACATACTTAAATGGTAATTTACCTCTTACTTAACATTACCCCTATATTTCACTATTGATTTATGCAAATTGTATTCTCTGCATCTTCGGAACTTGCTGAACTTGAAACTTAGCTGCCAACTTACAGCCATATGCTTCCTTACTCAAAATCATGCAGGTATGTATTGTGTTTATTTACTTATGATTTATTTAACAATGCTGTTGATATGTCAATAGCATTGAATCGTTGAATGATTAATAAATGATGACTCGGAAAGAGTTTGGAAGTAAGTGGTCATGGCCTAATTTGAGGTACTTTCCTGGTATTTGTTTGGAGGAAAAGAAGAAAGCCACAAAAGGTCTTGATCAGTACAGCTGGTCTCTAGGCTGAGCTAGCCAGAACTTTTCAAACACAAAACCTGAATGCTATCCAATCAAACAAAACATCCAGTTACACATGTTATGTTACATTTGATATTGTCAGCCTCTTTTCACAGAAACAGAAAATATCTTTACTTTCTGAGTATTTCATTACATTTAGTTCTGAATACGCCAAATTCCCATCCAAGAATCTACATTCAAGCTTTCTGACCCCTCCATTTTTAAATAAATATAAGAGGAAACTACAAATGGTTGATATAAATTCAAGATTGAAAGTTATCAAAAAAAGAGGCTACAATATCTAAGAAGAATAGAGCAAAATAGGTTCCTAAATTACATACAGACTACAAGTACAGCGGCAGAAGAGACCAAGGACACCCAAGTAAACAACTGAGAAGAACTTTGAATTTAATGAAACAGTAACAGGCCTTTAGAATAGCTTACCATGCTGCTGTTACTGATGATAACAAAATGTGCAACTCTTATTAAGGTAAGGACGCCATAAAATCCAAAATAAATATATCATAGCCATACGAGAATCCTCTGCTGTATAAGCTTTATGAGTTCTGAAGAAAGCAGTCTTCTGGGATTTGGCACCGTGTATATGTGGTGTTAACCGACGTTTCGGAGGAACGTATCGCCTCCATCTTCAGGGTAGAAGAAAAAGTATAAGAAATCTGCAAGCGACAAGACCGTGTTTTACCGTTCTCACGGTCTTGTCGCTTGCAGATTTCTTATACTTTTTCTTCTACCCTGAAGATGGAGGCGATACGTTCCTCCGAAACGTCGGTTAACAACACATATACACGGTGCCAAATCCCAGAAGACTGCTTTCTTCATAGTCACCGCCGTGAAAGCCTCAAATCTTTATGAGTTCTGTTCGAAATTTCTATCGGTGTATGTGGTTTTGCTATTTTCACAGCTGATGTTTACATGAACCGATTGCTTGCATTCACTGAATTTCTTTCCATAGAGTTCGCCAACGTCTGTTATTTGAAACAAAATAACCGACTAACCAATCAACCAACCAATAAAATACCACTGAAATTTTAATAAAATGATACGATTATAAAGGCGATTTTTCATGTCTAAAAATAATAACCTGCTACTGTGGAAATCAGAGGCGCCACCATCAAATTAATATTCCGTGGTCATGCTTTGTCGCTTAGCCTTAAATACAGTACAGTCAACGAATGACACGTGTTAGTAGCCATCGGAACAATTAACAATGTTGTTGTTATGTGGGATAATGACATCCAAAAAACTGAGAAGTCAGGACACCAACTGAAGATGAAGCAGTTCATATCTGAACATGGTAAATGAATATATCGTTAAGGATTACCATTAACAATTCATTCCAGATAACAGTACACAATGATCACACACGGGGCCACATTTAAGATTTCTGATTATAGACAGCAGATAGTACTAAGGCAAGAGAGGAACCTCAAAGGCGATAAGTATTCGTTTTAGAACATGTTCACGCATTATATCACAGACGGCATAAATAAGGCTTAATGATGATCAGTTGCCATTTGACAAATGTCTTATCTCTGAAACTACTCTGAAAGATTTAGATTAAATTTTATGCCATTTTCTACACTTAAAGTTGTCGAACTTGTTTAATTTAGGTCCGTATCGGCCCAGTATTGTCCTTACTTTTCTTATATTGGCGCTAAAGCTCTCATTTGGGCCTAGGCCTACCTCCATGAAACTCGCCAATTCACTTCGGTTTGTCCTTACTTTACATGAAGATAATTATGAAATTTTGATTTTA